GGCCAGTAGAGAAATTGGCCAACAGCTAAAACAGTCTAAGGTTTCCACTGCTGATAGATGCCACCTTGGACAAGGTGGAAGGAAGAGGCCTTAGGTAGAAGCCATAACCAGAGACACCACCCCATACAGCTAGCACGGACAATTGTGAATGCATGTGGCCTCCTGAAGCACATCCCATGACTGAAGTGCACATCCTTACCTGTCTGAAACAGGATATAAAGTGCGTTATAATGCTATAAAAAGCTACACTGACCTGATAGCCTAGTTATACCTGCAAATGTGCAACTCCATCTGACATTTTCTGTTAGAAACTACATCAGCCATCCCATCTTCTGCAGATTCTGTGGCAAAATCTTCTACACAGATGGGTGAACCTCTACAAAAAAAAGGTTATGTACAGAGAAATCTCTCCTGCTGCTTTTAAGGCAAGCAGATGCAAGCTTGTTACTTGGCAGACTGGGAGGAATTTTGTTTGGATTTGTCTCTGGTCTGAAGAGAAGCAAATTGGCTCAACCTTGGATGCCTCCTGGAGCAGGGAAAAGGGAAATTTAAGAGAATTTAATTTTCTCTATGCCTTATGTTCAGCTCTGCTGGTAAGGAAATGCGTCAGCATACTGGTGGTCTAGCAAATTTCTGAAGAAATGATGCAACTTTTAGCCCTGTTCTTGTTAATGTTGCTATCAGACTTGATCTACCTAGTAAAGTTTAAACAAACAAGCAAAACCCAGGAAAAAAAAAAAAACAAACACAAAAATGCCAAAAACCAAATAATTGAAGAAACAACACCAAGACAAACTTGCTTAGGCATTAGCTCTTACTTGCTTACCACAGCTAGGGTAAGAGTTATTGACATGGAGACTGGGAGAGCAGAAAGACCTAGCTGTGAGAAGTATTATAATTTGGGAAGGTGAGCCTAAGAATAGAGTGTGTCTTAGCTAGTATTTGCTTCATGTTATTGGCCTCCATTGAAGAGAGGGGTGTCAGGGCTCAACTAAATTGAGCACTGAGCCTCAAATGTATTTCTAACCTGTGCTAGAAACTTTTCTCTTTCAAAACTGGAGTAATTTTGCATTGGATCATAGCTAAAATCTCCTCATGACCAAGCAGTCGCAAGAGCTCTGCTCTGCCAAGAGCACAGCAGAACATTTCCGAACTGAAGTAGTTCCCAATGTACTGCAGCTTTGAAAAAAAATGGTACTTCTTGGCTGCTGACAGCCATGAACAGCTGAAGGGGGGTCCACGAAAAAATTTAACCCCCAGTTGCAGAACTTGGGAGCATCTCTTGGGGACTTGTGCCTTCGCTTTGCAGAAGGAAGGGTTTGAGAGCTACAACTGAGCTTCTAAACTACCTTACAGGGCTGAGTGCAGACCCACACTTTGCTTGAAGCTGTAAGGAGTTCCAGACTTTCTGTGGTACATTGTCTGGAAGCACTGGTAGGCCAGAAATGTAGACACCACATCTGTTCGTGCAGCCCCTATGCACTGGTCTGCATACTGTGCAGTTCTGGGAGGTCCAGCTGTTGCATGACCAGAGGTCTAAGGGTTTGTGCTTGAGGAGATGGGAGAGTTGTGGCTCTATAGGTACTCTGCCTTGGCTATAGTATCAAATCTGAAATGGAAGGACTTACTGGATGCTTATTTGAGCCTTGTGTGGTATAGGGGAAGAGCAGTCTTTGGAGGAGCCCCCTCCCTACTCCACCAGATTCTTCTTGGAAAAGAGGAATTTTGGGTGGTTTGGGAGGTATGCTGTGGGTCCTTCACAGTTTCTGAGGGACAAGTACAAAGAACTTCATCAACAAAGAAGGGGGAAGGGGTAGGATCACTACACAGCCAAACTGGTAGTTGACTTTTGGTTTCCTTTTTGGGTGCTTTAGGGTGGAGCAGCAAGTTGCCAAGTAAATACAAGGTGAATGGAAAGGGCTAAACTACTTCTAACGGCCTTGTTAAAAAGCATCTCTCCTGCAGCAAGTGCAATAAGCTCCCTAGTGACCACCACCAACAACAAACCACTCAACAGCATGTTCCTGCAAACGAGCAGGGGACAGCTTGGACCTTACAAGGCTGCCACATCCAATGCACCCAACTGTGCTTCACATCCCAAGCTCATGGATGTAAGAGATGTCAACAAATTTTCTGACATTCTGAAACAATACCTCTTCAGAGTTGGGGATGATGGGACCTGTTTGTATGACCCCAACTTCCTAGCTGTCTGTAATGCACCTCTTGCACCAGATACAACATACAGGTAGAATTCTTATTTCTTACAAGATGATTGTTGCTCTTAAAACACAATAAGAAAAAAAAACTGACTTTGTAAGGCTCCTTCGTAATGGTGTGATGTGAATTACCAGTCCCTAACTGAAATGCTCTGATGGAAGGGTAGTTATGAAGATGGTTTGGCTTTGGACTAGTATCCCACAGATGGTGCTCTAGCAATGGTGACCTCTATTAGGTTAAATTCAGGGATCAGTAGGAAGATTCATGTGTGAACTCCTGGGTCTGTACCCATATTGGAAGAGGTGACCACATCTGATTAGAAACTGCTGGTAGAAAAGGGCTGGAAAAGGATGTTGAGATTATTCACCATGTATTTTGTGTTAGATGGGTCTGCCAAATTGTAGATCTGGCTCTGTTTACTTTATTTTGATGGGATTCTGGGGAGCCGAAGTTCTCCTTTGTCTCCAGCTCCAGGAAGCCTCTAATGTGACTGCAGACCTCCTGGTGAGGGCCAGGTGGCTTGCAGACTTGTCTGATCCCTGTCATCTGGTGATGCTGACCATCTGGGGAACTTGGGCACCCTGACAGCTGTTAGCAGAAACACTTTTTTTTGTTGTTGCCAGCTAAATAAAAGCCGTAGTAAAAATGGCAGTCACATGGAGCCATGTCTGCAGCAGAGGCCTGATATACTTCTGAAACAAAATACTTTGGGCTCTTAGTTTGGCAAAAAACTGTCTTGCCTCTTCTGTTTCTTCAGGAAGTTTCTGAAAACTCAAACTGTTGTGGAATGGAAACTTAATTTCTTTGCCAAATCTGATGTTGGTCTGTCTCTTCAGTGCTCTCCCCTAGCAGGGAAAGTGCCAAAGATCTCTATTGTTGGACAAAATCTTTGACTTCCATATGGAAATCAAAACCACTTGCTGTCTTAAATAATGAGGTTTCTCACAACAGGGAATAGAAAGCTGGAAAAAACTCTTGTTGGAAAGCTCACAAGTACAAAGTGCAAACTGTGCACGACATAGCACAGAATGCTTTTCTATGATTAATTCTATTTGCTTTTTATAAGGTCTCTGGAAATAGTTACCTTTGGCTGTCTCCATCTAATGCTTTGACAAAACCTGAAGCCTGACCAGCCAGTCCAGTAGCTTAAATGTTCTAGTAAGAAAGTTCAATTTTGAAATACCTGATATAAGGCTTTTTCCCTCCCGATTTAAATATGTGTTGGTAGGTAGCACTGAAGGTATCATGAAAGATCAAACCCTCTGGTCTGATCCAATCAAAACCAAAAAAGGTAGGTCTGTGGCTTTAATCAGGTCTTTTGAGTAGCTGTGCTTGCCTTAAGATGCTATTGCTCTATGAGCAGCACCTACTTCTTTCCTAGAGTTTTAACAGCTTTGTCAGCCTTTCAGTATTGAAGTAGCAGACTTAAATATGGAATAACTCTCTACTTCTTTTGTGTACTTCAAGTAAAGATAAATTTGTACATACAATTTCAGATTTGATGCATGTCATGGTATCTAATACTGTTGATGTTTCTCAGTAATACAGATACTTGTCCTACTAACCTGCTGAGGAAAGCCTAAACTCTTAATGCTGACACTTAAACCCATTTCCCATAAATAGTTTAAGACTTCAGGTATAAACATAACCAGTTTGCCTCTCCTAAATCATCAGCTTTCTCCTATTTGGTCTGAGTGTTCATGGTTAAAAGTAGGTCACAAGAACATTCTTTCCATGCTTTTCTAGTTAAACTTCCCTTGAAAATTGATACCTGGTCTGGCCGAAGGAGTGGAGGCATCATTGTCATTACATTGATCCTCAGGGTTCTTATGTTCCTTCTGCTTGCTGGCCTTCTTGCTTCTGTGTCCTCTGCTGTCATCTAAGTACTGCTACACCTTTGCAACTTCCAATAAGAGTGCCTAAACCCTAAGTCATCAGCCTTCTTCCCTAGGGCCCCAAGCCGCTGTTGCTGGTCTTGTCTGAGATGACAGACCAGATCATTACCTCCAAATTTTGAAGCTGGTAACAGGAAAAGACTACTTTATCATAATGTTCCCTAAGATCAGCCCCTAAGAACTATTACATGGCATTAAGCTTACTATCTGCCAGATTTTAGTAAGGATTACTAGAAAAAAAAACCAACAACCAAACAATAGAGTTGCCCTTACTTCAAGTCTGCATATTCTTTCTTACATATTGCAGCTTTCCATCTATTCAGGAGTTTGGAAACTGTCTTAAGGAGTGCAGGCATTTGTAGAGATTACATAATATCCCAATTAATGCCTTGATTTTAATTTCTTTTCCTCCTTCCCAGGAGAAGTAAGTTATCCCTTTGAGTTAATAAGTGAGGCTTTGCTGGAGCTGTATAACTGAACTATTCTATGCATATTCCCTAGTCTTCTATGCCTCCTGGAAAATCAATGAGGTCTGACTGATTCCTAAACTGAACTTCTGGAGGGAATGAATTAAGTTTTAGAAATGGTGGGTATCAGGGCTGCTGACGCCCACTTCTTTTGTTCACTTGAAAATGATGCAAGTGTTCTGTGTTCAGTCAGCTCTGCCAGGCTCTCCTGGATTAAAGATGTGGAAAGCAAAAACTTCATCATAAATGACTATTAAAAAAATAAAATAAAATAAATCTGTGGCTTTCCCTGATGCTAAATCATACAAACAGTAATCAGCCTTTGCAAAATGTGACAGTAGGCTCCACTACTGGAGCTTAACAAGCCTTTCATTTGCCCACCAGGGGGTTCAGAAGATTCTTCTGCAGAGACAAAGCACGTGTCTCAGACCATTCAACAAAGTGAACCAAGACCACAGTTAAGCTCTGAGTGAACAAAATGATTCAAGCCAAAGGGGGAAAATGCAACTAAATTGCTACATGTGCCAGACCTACAGGACTGTCTCTTCTACCCAACGCTAGTCCAAAACAAGCTACAGTACACAACCAGGCAACTGAAGATGAATGTCACAGATGACGTAAGGACAACTTCTTTGAAATCTTACAGTACCCGTCTTGTCCTAATGAGATTTGATTTAGTTAATTGCCTTGTACAGCACAAAGGAAATGCCTGGTCTGAAGAAAGAATCCTCACGAGATCTGTCAGCTTCAGTGGTGAGATCCAATGTTGTCTAGTGAATACATCATCTCATCTGGAGTAAGCATTACTGCAGACCTCTGATCTGCTTCTCATGATCAGATGAACACGACGGAGCCATTTGTCTCTCCACCTTTCTCTATAGTAACTGATGAGGGCTTAAAGAAAACCAGGATGCTTTAGAAAAAGATGTTCTTCAAGAAAAAATAGGGATTAAAAAGTAGATAACAGGGAACTATTGCTGCTTCCTCGGGATTTAGTCACTATTTGCGTCATAAGAATTCCCCTTTTTCTCACCTTCCCTAAAAGAAAGCAAGTTCCAATTGACCTGTGTGTATCAGAGTAATTCCAATCTTGAATTCTTAAATGCCCTCAAACAGCTTTGCAAGCATGAAAGCTATCAAAATTGTTTCAAAGGAAGTATAATTTGCTGGTGGGATAGGAAAGGGGAGATACTGCTTTAGTGGGAAACCTGAGTATATTCACTGTTTGCAGGTTTAGCCTCATTGCTGACCTTCACCTCAGGCAGCAGCAAGCCAGCACTTTTCAAGCTTTAGTATCTAGACTGGTGAGATTTTTCCTGAGTTAATTCTCTTCCTTCATTTCATGATCTCAGTCAGTTATTAGAAATAAATTCTGAATTCTAAATTCTAGTTGATGATTAGGAAAAAAAAAATATCTTTGTTTCCTGTTTGTGTACTGCTTTTTTCCTTTGATGCTGGCTTCCATCTCTACAACACCCAGTCTCTACAAAAGGCTTGAAGAAGATCCAGCTTCAAAGCCCTATATTATACCTCTTGAGCATGTATAAGCAACTGCCCTATTGTAGCAAGTACTTACTTGTGATAAGCACTGAGCAGTCGCTATTATTGATGTTTTCCTAGTTTATCAGTAAATTTGTTAAACTGTCTCAGATTAGAAAGAAATAAGGATTCCGTTTTGCCGTAGGTAGTTCCCTATCACTGTCACAGTTGGATGATATTGCACTGATACTTATTTCAGGGCGTGGGACTCATTCTCTTCAGATTATGAAAATCAAAAGGTTTTGTGTAAAGTCAAACATTGCCAGGATGGAGTGTTGAGATTGTAACTTGGTGATTGTAAAACTTGCCGTTTTCCAGCAGGCTCTCAGCCTTCAGACCTTCTTGTCTTTATTCAGTAAGGGATTCTGGAGTTTATTTGATTGATTGCTCATTAGTTACATCAGATATTTTTTAAAAATCTCTCCTTAGATAAAGGAGGAAGCAGCTTGTCTGATTGTAAAAGGCTGTATTTTGGGCACAGAGTACATAAAATTTGCATTCTCAAAGCTGCTGGTAAGAAACTCTGTATTATACTCCCAGTTGTCTGCTACTAGTCTAATATGAGAACCAGGCCAGGAACCTGGCAGATGCAATATTTAATATTATTTTTCAGATAAGTCAGGGTACATGACATGAAGTTGTTTGAGAGGCTGAAAGACCCATGACCAGTTTAATGAATTAGCTTTGCTTTTGTTTAGCTTGGGTATAGATGCGGATAACTTGCTAGCAATATTTGGAACTGGGGAATGAACCTGAGGAAAAGAATGCTAGTGACAACCATGCTGTAAATGAGTCATGGTGGTTTTGGATCAGTATTTGTGATAATTTGTTCAGCTGTGATCAGGAAACACACCTCAAAATCAGGACCAAATTGCAAAAGTCATTTATCAGTGCAGGACTGGATATTCTGCTAATACGCAAAGTTTACCTGACATGTAAACCAGAAAGAGTTTACAAGTTTGTGGGAAAGAAAAAACAGACAACAGAGTACAAGTTTTCTGGTGGGAGGAAAAATGGTGCTCTGGAAATCAGGCATTCAAAAATCAATAGTATTATTTTTGAAGCAGACTGAACACTCAGAAGCTCATATTTCCTTAAGCTTTTACCGATAAAATGTAAAAACTTCTCTGGAAAAAAAAAAAAAAGTAGTATATGGTACTTTCTCAGAAAAGTACCAACTTCCAAGTGTAGTTCTGCCACTCTGATCATAGCATTACCTCCTTGGCTTAGACTGCTCTTTGCATATATTTTCCTGCTTCTATTGCCTTGTCCATGCCCATGTCACTACAGACAATGTGTTGTCTATCCACCACTCACTGATGAACTCCCATTTTGACCCGACCTACCCTACCTCATGTTTGAAAAGGGTACTAAGGGTGGAAGACACCGGTGTCAGTAATATATAGAGCTTTATTACTAAATTTCTGGGTTTGGAATTTATTTAAAGAGTTGGTTTGGAATTTTTTTTCAAATTTTGGGAATTATTTCAAAATTCTGGCTGTTGCCTGTTGTTTGAGAGATCCCGGTGTATTTTTATTCTATTTAGATGCATGGCAAACCTCTGGAAAAAATAAATATCTGAGTGCTTTTGCAATATAAACTCTAACAGTTGCTGAACTGCTGGCACTTGATTTTCTACTTTGTTAGTTTAGTTCTGTCTTTGCAAGGTCACAGCGCAATGAGAGAGAAGTCATCTAGCAACTACTGAGCAAATGTAACGATATCACACCAAGGTCCCCCAAACCTAAATCCTGATGGAATGAGGTCTCAGCCCTAAGTGGGCAGCTGTCTTCTCACTCCCCATGCCTTCCTGCACCTTGTCCTTTCTTACAACATCTGCTTGGGTAAGCTTTGTCTTTAGTTATCCTGAAAAGTGTGCTGGATGTTACCTGACCCAAAAGTAGTAGTAGGCTGGCAATCCTTTTATGTACAGCTCGTGTATAGCTGAAGCTAATCGTGTCCAAAAATTATTATAATCAGCTGGCTACTTTTTTGGTAGGCAAGTTTGAGTTTCCAGCCATTCCCATTTGAACAAGCGTGCATACAATCCATATCCTCTCCTGTAATTAATACCATCTTTCACTGGCAAAAGTCTCAGCAGAATGACCAACATTCAAGCCTTCTTTGGGTATGCTTGGTAAAATGCACTGGCCTTTGTATATGATTTACTGCTAGTTCTGACCCTGACAAAGTGTAATATGCTAAGTTTCAGTCCTAATATTGACACTGTTCTTTGAAGAAATGCTGTGACCTTTTATATATATGCCTGAAGGGACTATATGCTTGTCTAAGCAAAATAACTGGAGCAAAGAGTGATCGTGTCTCACGCGTGTAGCTGTCTTTCAAAGAGTGATTCAGCTTTCACAGCAGGTGAGTCAATGTATAGAAGAGCTTTTGAAATTATTTGGATTAAAAAATAATAGTTTGGTGTATGCTGAGACCTAGGTAGAGTTTCTCCCCCTTCATATATTATATAAATTTATGGATAGGCCTCTGATTAAATGGAATCTGTGCTGATTCCTTGTTCCAAGGGGAAGTTTGCAGCAAGCACCTCCAGTACTAAGCCAGTTAAGATGGCAGTATCAACACACTGAGATCATAACTACTCTAAGTGTCTTTTGGTCTGACATCATTAAGTGTGATTTTTAAACCACTGTCTCATGTCTTGAAGTTAAAATGTAAGAACAAGCTATCTTCCACGTGTGATAAAGAAAACTGAAAGAATACAACTCCGATCAGAGGGTCATGTGCTGTTTTCTGATATATAAGGACCTCATTATATTAGTCATCTTGCAATAAACCTGATTCTTTCCAGGATAAGATTCCTGGAATCTCTTATTTATATAAACAGTGCACAACATTTGCAAAGATAAAAAGGATGTCATACTTCTAGGAAAATATTATAGTTGTTTCCTACAAATTGTACAAACTCCGCTCATGCTTTCCCCAGTCAAAAACTAGTAACTAGGGAAATGCAGAATCTTTTACCTCTATTTGCCTTGTCTTGTGTTTTCTTTTCCATAAATGCGTTTCCTGACTTGAGAATTTTGGATTGTCTTGTTCTCAAAATCAGATGTGACCTCTTGAAAGTGAATGCTTTCTGTAGGACAGAATTTGTTTCATTTTAAAAAGCAAAAGGATTCTGGCTTCTGCTATGACACGGATCTGTCATTTGAGTATTGTTTACTGTGAACTATTGAAGAAAACCTTACTAATTTCTGACCAAGTCTTTAGCTTTTAATATAAAATTTGAGTTTTTTATTAAAGGCTTGAATTCGATAGGTATTTAAAGAGTACAGACACCAGCCTTTTCTCTTTCCCTTTTTTTCGTTATTGAATGCAAATCTGTCCCTCTCTCCTGTGATGCCAACTTAACAGCCCCAAATCTACCTCTCAATTGAGGGACTAGCTGGACTTCTTCCTCCACTGTGCCTTGGAATAGGAAGGGCTGGTCAGTATAGACAATGTCTATAGGTGTCCTTTTGTTGTCTCAGCAGTAAAAAATAACATTTGCATTTTATACAATAGTGTACAGAGAACTACTGTTTGGGAGTTTGTTAAAGAATATGTTGTAACCGAGTAATTGAAATCTAGAGGACAAGGAAATGACAATACTTGGATATCTAGTTCTCTGGATGCTATAGTTGTATAGACAGCTGTATCAAAAACTATAATTTATTTCCATTTAAAATAATTATTTGTAATAGATGTTTGCATGCATTACAGACTTCACATACAACCAAATTCTAAGAATATAGATTTGAAGTATTTCTACTGATGTCAGTTTAACTAGCAAGCTGAAGAAGAAATTCTGCCATATATTTAAAAGGTAACTTTTAAATGAAAAAGTTAAATGTAAAATGTAAAGGTAAATGTACAATCATTTTCATGGTTGCTTCTAACGGTATTAAAAAAAATTAATATTCAGTAAATT